CTCCTGGAGGGCGCAGAAGTAAATGTAGTTTGCCGAGTTGATGGTCTGCGCTACGCCAAAGATGTTGTGGGCGACGGGAAGGCCGCGGCGGAGGGAGGACGAATCTTCCACGTCGTCGATGAGGAGGGAGGCCGTGTGCAGCATACCGACGACGTTTGTAATGACATCGATGCTGGCCTGGGGCACCTCGAGCCAGACGTTAAAGGCCTGGATGAGCTGGGCGCGGAAGTCCTTACCCGGGTGGGCAAAGAGGTAGTCAAAGGGGCCGGTGATGACCTTGTCCTTCTCCTCGGGCCAGGTCTTGCGGGTAAAGTTGAGGTCAGAGGTCGCGTAGCGCGAGGGGTCCGGGGGCGGGGGAGGCTGCATCGTGAGGGTGAAGGAGGTAGCTTGGTTGGTCCCCAGGGAAGGGCGGCGAGACCGGTGAGAAGAATGTGAGAGCGAGTGCTTGTGGGCGTGGGTTTGGCCGTGACCGTTGTTGGTATTGGTGTGGTAGTTGGCGCGGGAGAGCCAGTCGGTCTCGGGAACGGTACGGAGGGGCCCTTTGGAGGTCGCGGGCATGGGCGCGGCCGCGTGGGCGGAGAGGGAGACGGGAGCGGCGGCGGCGGAGTGGTGGCCGATGGAGGATTTGCGCGAGGGGATACCGTTTGGCGGGGAATGGGGAAACGAGGAAGAGGGGGTGTTGGCGGTATTTGTATTCGTAGGGTTTGAAGATTTGTCGGCTGCTTTGTTTGAAGGAGGAGAGGACGACGAGGTCGCCGACGGGTTATTAGGCACCATCGCGAAAGGGAGTCTTCTCCAAGGGACCGGCTGCCAGGGGAAGAAGCGTGGCTTCTTATGGAAGTCTGGTAGGGAGGACCCGGTTAAGGTCTCACCACCAGCACCAGCACCAGCACCAGCTGCAGAAGCTACAGCTGCGGGAGCTCCAGGTGTTGGCTCAAGCTCAACAGAGCTCGCGTGGGCTAGGGATGCGGCGTTGTGGAGCTCTGGCTGGTGGGTTGCGGTAGAATCGGTCAGCTGGCGCCGTTGCTGTAAGCCCGTGTAAACGTCACCACTTGCTCAGCCAAGGTGAGATTCTGCCCGGGGGTGAGGCATAACTCTGTGAGGTAAGGTAGGTTGTGAAATGGTGTGGTGGTGGATTGGATAGGAGCGGCATTGCGGCAGGCAGTTGATTGCTGCATATGCGAGTGCTTTTCTGCCCGTGTCTGTATTGGTCCGTAGACTATGTGCATGTGCTGTCTTTTTGGCGGGGAACAAAACGAGATGTAGACCGTCATGACTTTCTTGTGAATAGGGCCTTTTCTCCACCCATTGCTGCAAGGGCAGAGGCGTAGGCAAGGATGGTGCGCAGACCGGAATAGCAAAGAGGATGAAAGGCCAAGCTAGGTCACTGAACCTTGCTTGGAAAGTCCTTGGTAGGAACGAAGATGGATGGTTGTGGCGGGTACCAGGAAAGTCCTAGACAGGCCTGCAGTGGACAATCAAGGAGAAGAAAGTATGGGAGAAAGCAACAAGGCAAAGTGAAGTTGCAGATGGACAATCACATGTCAATGGAAAGCATTTTGCGCACCTTGAACATGCAGCAGGAGCAGCAACAGGAGCAACGATGGCAGCTGTGGAAGGTGCTGATGGAGCCTCAATTGCCCAGGGCAAAGCTCAGATCGTTTGCTGGAGCTCTTATCGATTGATGGTGGGGAGATAAGGCGGAAGGCAGTCGGGCTTATGTTGAGGCCGAAGGAAGGAAGACGTCATCCAAATTCGCGGCTGTTCCTTGGGGGGTCGGGACTCCGTCGATGCCGAGCTCCAAAAGGGCGGCCGCGGACTTTGATCCGGGTGGGTGGCCGGAGAATAAGCGGTGGGAGGAACAGCAGAGTGAAGACAAGGGACCGGATATCTCGGTGTAGTGATGACTTTTCTACCTTAGTCGTTGCTCTCCCGCCTGATTGATGTCGAACGGATGGAATTGGAGCGGAGAAGGAAAAGGAAGAAGAGCAAGCCGGGTGGGTGCTCGAAAAGAGAGAGGTTCGTGCGAAGTCTCCGTCTTAAGAATCGGCCGGAGCACGGAGGAGACACGGACACCACCCACCTCGAGCCAACGTGGAACTACCATTTCTTAGGGAGTATTGGGGAAACGGGCTTCTAGAAGAGGACGAGAGCGGCCACTAACACATCACGGAGTACGGATACATAGTAAGTACGGAGTACTGCGTAGACACTAAGTGCTCGGATGTCACCCAGAATCCTCCTGATCTGCGTGCTTGTCGCCCGTCACTCTGTCACCCCTTGACCATGTGCTTCATCCTGCCAGACTAGCTACTGTGACTCGTGAGGCCTAGGTTGCTGCCGTGTGATACACCGGCTTAAGAAGGAGTGATAGCAGCAGGGCAGCAGCAGAGAGGCAGCTCGCTCCGAGTCGGAGCAACTCTAGACACTTGGATGTGCCATCCCCTCGCGTCTTCAGGTTTCATCAGCGTTAAGTGCCGGTCTTAAGCACCCGCAGCGGCTGTGACAGGGCCGGCAGAGACGTTTACCGTAAACTTGTGCCATTCGACGCCGCCTCTCTGCAGTAGCCAAGGCACGCGGCACACCACACTTCGGGGTCACAGGTCAGGGTCGATGTCAAAACCTCGCTTATGTCCCATACTACTGTGTATCTCTGAACTTCCACAGCCTTGAACCCTGCTCGTTCTCTCCGAGTTCCCATGCATGGAGGATCAGGGAAAGAAAAGGGAGCTCATGCAAGAAGGGAAAGCCCAAGATGCTTAGTTTGCCGGCCCGTGCCCCCCACAATGCCACCCAAAGAGCCAAAAATGCGCCAAACGCAGCCCAATGGCTCCCTGATGTCCCTGATGGGCCCCCCCTAATTGACCCGCTTAGCTAAGAACGGTCATCAACCTGGCCAATCAGACCCAGAATTTCCCCTTTCGGCAGCGCTACATCCCCATCCCAACATGCTGGATCGACCCGGTTGCCGGGGCAGTAATCGTCCAACGCAACACAAACAACCCGCATTGTCCACCAACATCGTCGCTTTCCACCGTCTGTTGTATCTGGACGCTACCGGGTAGTCGCTCTCATGAATGACCACCTGCGCATGCGCCCTCGCCATTGAACATCTTTTTATTTTTTGCCTTTTCCACCTCCCTCGATACGATTGTCGCGCAATTGCCATACGCCGCCCTTCTCCAGATCCCTAGAGGACTTGTCCTCGCCAGCCTTTCTTCTTCTCTTTTTTTGTATTAACAATATCCGACGGTGCTGCTGCTGCTGCTGCTTTCCAGACTCGACTTCTGTCTCTATCCTTCCATCCAACACAACAGCATTTCATAGCCACCAAACCATCCACAAGTCGCATCACCGAGAATCGCATCGCATCGTCTCTTTTGTCTTTACCAAATTACGCCCGATACCCACGTCCTCCAATCAAACCACAAAGTCACCGCCTGCTACAAGAGCTCATTCGCAACATAAGACGCAATGGAGAACCTCCTCAGCCTCGCCTTCGACGGCCTCTCTTCCTACGACGGCCCCAAGATCCGCAAGGGTCTGCGCCAAGTCGAGGGTCTCCTCGCCCAAATCTGCCTTTCAGCACCAGCCAAATCGAGATCTCCCACAACGGACGATGATGCGTCCCACAGCGGTGGAAAGTCTCTGGCAGACTTGTCAGATGACCCGGCCTTCCGCGAATTCTTCAAGCTGCAAGAAGGATTCGAGTGGAACGTTGCCCTGCGCCTTATCAACACTCTCGACCGCCTGATGGGCAAGGGCACCGATGGACAGAATGACCTCCTCATCCTCAGCTCGTTAGATCTGATCCAGGGCGTCTTATTGCTGCACCCGCCCAGCAAGGCCCTCTTCTCACGGGAGCAGAACATGAACGTACGTTGTCTTTGACTCTTCCACCGTCATTGTCCAAAGCAGAGCACTAATTCCAATCTCGCAACAGCTCCTCCTCGACCTCCTCGAACCCGTAAACTGTCCCGCGATCCAGTCCGCCACCCTCCTCACTCTCGTCACCGCCCTCATTGACACCCCGACAAACACCCGAACCTTTGAGGCCCTCGATGGCCTCCTCACCGTCACCTCCCTCTTCAAATCCCGCTCCACCGCCCGCGAGGTCAAGCTCAAGCTCGTCGAGTTCCTCTACTTTTACCTCATGCCCGAGGTTCCCTCCATCCCCCGCGCCGACGTCCGCGCTTCTGTACCGGCCATCCACCAGCGCAGCCCAAGCAAGCTCGCCGGCGCCTTTGGCAGCGCGGCCTCCACGCCCGCCTCCACCGACTCAGGCCACGGCCGGAGCCGCGCCGGTAGCGAATCTGCCGACACCATGACGACCGAGGAGAAGCAGGAGCTGCTGGGCCGCCACCTGAGCAATGTCGAGGATCTCGTCAGGGACCTGCGGACGTGCACGCCCTTTGGTGGTGTCGTGTGCTAGCTTTCCTCGACAAGCGAAACTGCTCATGTCCGGTATTTGGTGTTTTCGGGTACGCATCATTCTAAGGAGTTGTACTCTTATTCGCGAGCTCTAGTCTCTCCGTCAGTTGCATGGTTCATCTTGTTTGGCGTTCTCGTGGAGGGTACGATTACAGAGGTTTCACACATTTTGGGCGTCGTCATTCATGGAAACGTAGGCGAGGAGTTTTCTTTACCATTTTTTTTCTCGTTTGTGGCCAAGGAAGGGGAGTTGCTCATTCCAAAAGTTTCCCTCTATCAGAATCGCATAATACGTATTGTCAAGTTGCGTTCCCTTGAGTATCGTAGAAGCATCAGGAAGAAGAGAAAGAAACGCGCGCATGTCTTTTTGATCGTTTATCAAGCTGTGTATCATTATCGTCGATTATCGTTTATACTCCAATTCATGGGGGTCGTCTCAGAAAGACTCGAGACTGATTATAGAAGACGCCTCACTTTGAACAACACACCTTGCTCTGTCTGTCCATCCCAAGTCCTCCTATCTCTCCCTCTCCCTGTCGGAGGGAGCGGGACCCGGTGACCGATCAAACATGCTCACGCTCGCGATACTCCTCGGCGTCATCATCGACGGCGTCGGCACAATCGACGAGGGCGGCGCCCCAACGGACACGGGCGAAGCCATCTCGGACCCGTATAACTCGTACCGCCCCTGCGTCGTCTCCTCCTCGGACCCCGGCGTCTGCATCTCCCTCGGGTCCCCTTCGCGTCCTTCCTCCGGCACGGAAGTCATGCTGTGGCCGTACCCGTGGCCGTGACCGTAACCGTACCCGTAGCCTCTCTTCTCACCCCCAGAGTCCCCAATCTCTACGGGCGCGACAACGTCATTGGGCGAATGCGCTTGGAGCGGCACGCCCCGTCCTCGACCAGGCGTCCCCGCCCTTCCCCCTCCGGCTCCGGCTCCGGCTCCCGAACCACTACCCGGAGACAACCCGGTCTCGTCTGTCTCGGTATACGGCCCCGCAACGGCATCCGGACCAAAGTAATCCTGCGTCGCGCCGCGACTGGGTCCGTTCGGTCGGGACCCGGACGTGACGTCCGATAAAGCCCGCACCCCGCGACTAGGCCTCTCGCTCCCGACGCCAGAGACCCCTCCTCTTCCTGCTCCCGTTCCTCTGCTCCGCCCGCCGCCGCCGCTACGCTCAGACATCGTCGCCGTCTCGGTAACGGTCCCCCTCCGCCGTCTCCTCACAAAACAAAACCACGCGAGCGCGCCGGCGAGAGCACACCCCACAACAGCAACGCCAACCCCGATACCCGCCTTCGCTCCAGCCGACAACCCTCCCCCTCCGCTGCCGCCTTCGGGGACGGTGGTATACCCCACATCCCCCGTCGCCGTCGGGTTCCCCGCCGCGCACCCGGCCGTCCCGCTGACGACGGTGCAGTGCATGAGGTTATCGCAGCACCCCGCCGCCGTGTCGTCGCACGCGTGCTGCGTGGTGGCCGTACACTGCGGGTCAGCGGGCTTCAGTCCCCCCGTGGCAGATGATGTTACGGAAGCGGAGACCGTGCTTATGCAGCGGCCGCCGGAGACGCAGGTCTGGCCGTAGGAGCAGCAGCCGCCGCCGAACTGGGATTCGCAGCGGAAGGCGGAGGGGGAGGGACAGGTGCGGCCGCAGCAGGCTGAGGATGTCGAGAGGGAGGTTGTCAGGAGGGCGGAGGCGGCGCTCGTGGTCCGCGAGACGGTGGCGGTTACGGTTATCGTTGTTGGGCATTGGTAGGCTGTCGCGGGGCAGTTTGAGTCGCAGAGGGAGCCGAGGGGGCAGCACCATGGTGAACTGTCAGGTTTTACGTAGCAGTAGTTTGTGTTTGCGCAGCATGTTTCTGGGTGGCCTATGTCGACGCCTGTTTGGATGTTTTTAGTTTGATGCTCTTGGTGATGAGTGAGACTACTCCCTTCTTCTTCTTCTTCTTCTTCTTCCTCATGCTTCTAGTATGTAGACACTCTTTGGGGGTAATGTAAGGTGAATCCGAAGTCAAGGGGGGACGTCGAGTGAGGATAATGATAACACTTGAAGGAGGTTCGTACTTACAGGAATGAAAATTTGGGTTACATATACCGCCGTCGCGGACAGCGAGCCGCGGTGCGTCGATGAAGAAGCGCGGAACGATACCGGCGCCCCCGACGGCTGGCGACATGTCAACCGCGGCGTATCTCTGTCTGAAGGCCGCATTTGTGCCGGTGGCGGCGGCGGCAGCGGCCAGCGTGAGAATCGCGAGGAGCTTCATCTTGTCTGCTGCTTTCCCATCCCCCAAGAACGGCAACTTTTGATCGGGACAAGAAAGAGCAACGCCGATTGAAATGCCGAGTTCAATTAGGAAAACATTGCTCTCAATCCACGAGGCTTTTGCGAAGGAGAAGATGAGAAACTTTCCCGCCAGCCTGCCCTTTGGTGGTGGTGGAAGCCTCGGAGGATGGGGGGATCGTGTGTGTGTGTGTGTGTGTGTGTGTGTGTGTGTGTGTAACAACAGCGAGGCAAACCGCGGCTGAAAGGGAAAAGACGAGAAAAAAGCAAGGGACATAGAAACAATGGTAAGCAAACAATTTGAAGAGTGGAGGGGGAAAAGATGACAGTGATTAATGTAGGTAAGATGGCAGCGCACAGAAAAGGCTGCTGCTGCTGCTCCTGCTGCTTCCTGCTACAGCATGCGCCTAGATGCAGGGTAAAGTAGCATACACCCATCATGGGAAATAGAGGAACATGTAAGCAGAAACCCCATTTCCTCGGCTCGGGGGTAAATCCAAAGTTCCTTGTGTTTCCTATCTATTCCATCTTGCACTCACGCAACCTAATTTCAGAATGGAAACCCATGAAGAGGAGGATTGTTCAACTAGAACATCCAGCCTCTGTTTTGGTGAAAGGCGTGAAACGAAACCACTCGGTTTCCTCACGAGTACTTCGTTCGGTACTCGACTCGAAAATGCAGAAACGGAGCGCCAAACTAACTCACTTGCCCCTCTCGATCGCGAGCCGAAAGTATTCCTCGTAATCCGTCATGGGAAATGATTGGTCAGCCTATTCTCGCTATCCCATCTTCGTTGGTTCGTTCTTGCTGGGCCGCTGGGTTGCATATCGGGAGACCACCACCACCACCGCCACCATCCACGGGCCGGCATCCCCTGTCCCTCGTGGCGACGCAGAACATAGGTATACCTAGCGGCTAGCTTCTCCAAGATTCGCGAGGATGATGGATTCCAGGGAGACTCTTCCAGAGCGTAAGAACTCGGCCAGTATTTTTGCTGCAAGGGAGAAAGAGAGAGAGATCGCGGTGGGTGTGAAGGTATTCTCCCACTTTGTGAACCCCCCTCGCAGGCTGCTTTCTAGTGTGAACAGTACATGCGTGCTCCTATTTGCAACCAATCGCCACGCGAATGGACAATGCGATTGTTAAGAGAAACCAGCATGAGAGACCCCCAAAAGTCTGGACACCAGCATCAAGGAGAGTCGTATAGGCGCCCCTCCTAGAGCCAGTCAAAGACTAACAAACCAAGTCAAATGTGCTTCGACTTCTTCCTCCGCAAGAGGAACACGAAACTCGACTGAAGAGGAGAAGAGTGATCAAAGTCGAGGGATGAGGTTGAACGACGCCTGTTGCTATCAAATATCGAGAAAATAATTGATCGGACAGGAAAAAGTCAAGAATCCAAAGCGGAGTTCCTCAGGCCCGGCCCGCCCGGTCAAGAACACCCCCTTCCCGACGACGGATTGACGGCCCCAAGCGCCAGGAGAAAGCGGCGGGCCTCGACGACACACGCCCGCTAACGCTAGCGCCCGAAACCCCCACAGTGCAGAAGCGGCAGAATCCCGAGGCCACAGGCGGTCAAGCCACAGAGAACCGAACCCCACCAAACGAATCTACCTTTACCCCTCCACCCACCTCCTCCCCTCCGATCGAACTTTCTCATTTTTGAAGATATTCCCAAACGACAAAAAAACCAAACCCAGACACAACTTCCGCCTACGACTCGCGACACGCACTACCACAACTTCATATGAACCCTGTTTCGACTCAATAAAAGAACAAGAGGGGGGAAAAAACAAAGAGGACAGAAAGGAACACAGCAAACTGCCGAAAAACAATTGGAACACCACCCGCCATCCCGATAATCCTCCCAACACACATCACACAATGACAACAATACCACCACCAGAGGGCGCAGGCGCATTCCCCCTTCCCCCCCTCCTAACCCACCAAACCTCAACCCCGCCAACCCTAATAACCCAAGGCGCAGAAGCCCGCCTCTACCACACAACCCACCTCTCCCCCAACCGCCCGGCAGCCCTCAAATACCGCCCGCCCAAACCCTACCGCCACCCGACCCTCGACGCCCGCCTAACCCGCTCCCGCATCCTCGCCGAAGCCCGCGTCCTCGCAAAATGCCGCCGCGAGGGTTGTCCCGTCCCCGCGCTCTACGCCCTCGACGAGGTGGCGGGTTGGCTGATGCTGGAATGGATCCCCGGTGCGCCGGTGAGGGTGAGGATCAACGAGTGGCTTGGGGAGAGGAGGACAACAGCAGCGATACCAGAAGAAGGAGAAGAAACACCAGAAGGAGAGATGGGGGGTCCAGACGCGACAGCACCAGCACCAGCACCACCAGCACCCAAAAAGGACCCAACGGGCATCAAAAACCTCATGCGCAGAATGGGCACAGCAATAGGCCAAATGCACAAAATCGGCATCGTCCATGGCGACTTAACAACGTCAAACATGATGCTCCGCCCCCCGAAATCGTCAGACACAAACGAGAACAACAACGACCCCCTCGACGGCCGAGTCTTCATCATCGACTTTGGCCTCGCGAGCCAAAGCACCTCGGACGAGGACCGCGCCGTCGACCTCTACGTCCTCGAGCGCGCCTTCGGCAGCACCCACCCGCGCGCGGAGGCCTACTTCCAGGACGTCCTCGACGCCTACCGCGACTCGTACAAGCAGGCGCCCGTGGCGCTCAAGAAGCTCGAGGACGTGAGGATGAGGGGCCGCAAGAGGAGCATGATTGGTTAGTTAGGGGGACTGGGTACGGCGTTGTTTGGAAACATTTCGAATCGATCTACTTGCGGAGAGGATGGCGAACACATGCACCTACAACAACAAGCTTGCGGAGATTAAAATCAAAAGAAATGTGAGACACATGACGGCATGGAAAAGAAAGTCGAATCAAATTGATACCCATGGAGTATTTCGGCGTGTTTGGCCGTTTCTACTTGATTCGCTACGTCTTCATCCGTCTCCTACCGTGTACATATCCTGTACTTTGTTCAGTCCATCATGGTGGTACAGAGAGGTGCATTCTGTCTTGATGCCATCTATAATTGCCCCAAAACTTTGATAAAGCCCCCATCCCCATAAAAAAACAACCCTACGCCAGGTATAAAGTAATAATGCCGTGTGATATAAAACGCCGTGTCATGCTATTATTAGTCGATTTCCATAACGACTTTCGAGACCCAGCTCATTGTGTGTGTGAGCGTTTTTGTCGAGACGCAATATCGGCCGTGACGCGCAAGCATTTGCCCCCAATCTGCTCTATTCCTGCTTCACGAGACACTTTGTCTCAAACCACTTTGCAAATCGCACTGTCGGGATATCAAACAAGCGCCAGAAAACATCGGCGGCCCAAATGACCGCAGGAATGCAGCCGCAAGATCCCAGAACGAATCCGGCATTGTACCACCAGCCCTCGAGGCCGGTGATGGCGTACGCACGTCTCTCAATCATGTAGCCAACGGTGTGCATGACTGGTCCGTGCATGAGGTAAAGTGCGTAGCTGATCTTGCCGAGATACTGGATGGGAGCGAGGTTGAAGAAGCTCTTCCATCTAGGAGAGTGGCCGACGCAAAGAACGAAAATGACAGCTCCGATAGACTGCCAGAATCTGTATCCTTCCTCCGTCCACCACTTGGGAATGAACGTGCAGAGCCAAACCCAACCAGGAGTGATTTCGTAGTTGATGTCAGGCTGGCACATGAAGTAGATGGCAAGAATGCTGAGCATTGCCCAGAAGAAGCCCTTAAGTCGACTTCCTTGGGGAGCGGCGGCGCTATTTGAAGGAAGGACCGAGGGCTGCGGCACAGGCGTGTTGTTGCCCATGATCTGATCGTATTCCGCCAGCATCATGCCAAAGTAGAACAGCAGCAGCTCCCAACGGTTGTTTCGGTACGTGAAGGCGATGATTCCCGAGAGGAAGAGGAGGCGGAGTCCGGACCGTACGCGAGCCAAGCCGATCAGGGTGATGAACAGGTACATGGAACAGCGGAACTCCACCGGAATTGTCCACAGGTGCACATCATATGCTAAGAATGGTATTAGCAAACCTCAACACACAAATCCTCCACAACCACTTACATGTGCTGCCACCAAAGCGCTCCCAGCCAAACACGTGGACAAAGTTGAACATGCTCCAGACCCAGTCGTAAAACTGCTCCGAGAAGGTGTCCAGCGGCTTCGGGTGAGGCTCCATAACGTTCTTGTGGAAAGCCCGATCAATGG